TTTTTTATTTTGCACATAAATTTACAATGACATTATCAAATCTCACAATGCCCAGCGATATTTCAGCAGCCGTCATGTTTATTTACATTGGATATTGTAGTTCCGGTCAGTGTTGTAATTAATACGCTAAGAATTGTGTCTCGTGCGGCATGGTAATTATGTCTCGTGCGGCATGGTAATTAAAGTCCCATCAACGACACAGCTTTCAAAGAGGCTATATAGTGACAATGCCATGCAAATGTAAATATTTCACATTATAGCACGTACTCTGATCAAACTTCATATATTGGTTATACATGAGAATACCTATAACGGGGTGTGTTTCTGAACAGACTGGATTAGGATTCGTGTCGTGGTGAAGTTTGAGACTGTTTGTCGTGTTGTTAGTGTACATACTAAGGTTAAACATGTGATATTGAACCACACCCGATCGAGGCCATCTGTATTGTTTGCGATGCTTTGCTTCTATAGGCCTACAGAAAAAATGGGTTTTTGATCATTATTACTATAGCATATATACAGACCGCGGGGAATACTCTTCAGTATCTAACTACATTCAATCACCTTAAATGCTGAAATAATCGTTTTAATCCTCAAGTAATTTTACGAAAGAAAGCAAATAGTGAACATAGCATTTCAAATTTACATTTTGCCGAAGATATTCTACAAATATTTACATTTCGTACACCCAACCAAGTTCATTTTTTGTATTTTTTGTAACAATATGATGTTACGATCAAAATAATAGCCTGGTCCCTAGCTAAGTAATGGACGAAGACACAGGCTCCAGGGAGTAAAGTGTATTCAAAAGGGAGTTCTTCTACTTGTACACGAAACTATGTCAAATCTCAGCTACTCACGTGTCAAGAAACGTCACATCCGGTGTCCAGACGCTGGACTGGTTCACCTCGATGTAGTCAACGGTGTCAAAGAACCAGGTAAGGCGCGTGTCGGTCCAGGTCTACAAAAAGAGCAAACATGTCATTGGCATCATGTTCTTACAAAACAACAAAATTATGTCATAGCGTCTGACATAATAAATACAGAACTATGTTACTATGTGTAAGAACTCAGCTACTGCAACTGACATCAATGGAACTTTGCTAAGACGACCGACGGCAAGACCGACATCAACATAACTTCGCTATCAATACTGACGTCAACATAACTTCGCTATCAATACTGACATCAACATAACTTCGCTATTAACA